CATGACCTTGGGCTTGCCAGGCAGGCACTTACACCACTGAGCTAAATCCCCGGCCTTAAATTATTATTATTATTATAAAAATAGAGCTTCTTAGACTTTTCTGCTGAGGAATCTAATTTGGTAAAGTCTCTGCTGGGACATGGGGATCTGCATTTCAAATGTGTTCTGCAGGGGATCCAATCGTCCCAGGCCCTTCAGTGCAGGCCCCTTCCTCAGGGTGATCTCCCCTTCTGAGCAGCACCTGCTGGCTGGATATCTTGGCATCTGTCAGAGAATGAGTAAGCCCAGGAGGCGGCCAGATTGACCAAGCCAAAACTCCTGTTTTATCTGCCTGCCCTAAGTCCCAGGCTTTTGCCCTGTGGGTCTTCCTGTCCTATCAACCTTAGGGTGGAAGAGTGTGGGATGTGCAAAAAGGGAAGTGTAAAAAATCAGAAGTATATTACACAGTTTTTATTTAGAGATTATATAATGAATGGGGGTCTTATGTTTTTTGTTTCTTTGTTTGTTTTTTGTCTTTTTGAGATAAAGTTTCACTATGCAGTTAGATTTACCTTTAACTCTCTATGTACCCAAGTTGGCCTCAAACCCACAAAGATCCTTCTGCCTCAGCCTCCCACGCGCTGAGATTACAGGTGTTGCACCCCCACACCCAGCTTGTTTAATTAGGGACCATGCCTAGAGTCTCTTGAACCCATGTAGAGGCTACGTTTTATAAACCTAAAGAAAAGGGACTTACGGTCATTTTGTCTAGTCTGCTCATTTTGCAGGTGAGAAAATCAAGGCCCGAGTAGAGAAACCAAATGAGTTATTTAAGGTCGGTAGCAGGGCTGGAACCTAAGTCTCTAGTGCTGCTCAGGGCTCCTTCCTCTCTATCATCTCTCAGTCTGTTTAGACTGCAGCATTCCATCCCTGCCCCAAACAGCCCTGTCCTCTTCAGTGTAAAATACATTCATTCCATCCTCAGAGAACCAAGGTCTCCACTAACTCCTGTGTGAGATCCACATTTCAAAGCCAAGGTCATCAAAATCCGTCACGGATAAGATTCAAAGCCTGGCTCATTCTGAGGCAAATTGCACTTCAGTTGTGTACACCGTGCTGTCCAAACGTTCCTTGCTTCTCAAACCAGACGGTGGGCCAAGGTAGGCTGGTCATTCCCATTCCAAAGGAGAGACCTGGGATGGGTCTCACGTCAGTGCAAACCCTTGTGGCTTGAGAGTAGGTTTTTGCTCTGCCCTTCAGAGGTCCCACCCTGTGTGGCTTCACTGGGCACCCCTCATGCCACTAGCAGGTTGGAGTTTTCCTTCCGCCACTCCCTGGGCTGGAATCTGAGGACTCCGGGCTACTCATTCCCACGGTGCCCGTGAGTGCCCAGCTGTCTGTGGCACCCATGGAAATCCACATGGAGGCAGCCACCCCTGTGCCCTGCAGCTTTGCTTGGCATGGAGCCTGCACTGTGGGTGCCAGGGAGGTCACACCCAGTGCAGCTGAGAAGTGTGGCAAAGGGGTGTGGGGAGCAGAGCCCACGGCATGGGGCAGCACTGGGCATCCATGGGATGAGGTTCTGTCCTCTCCCTGGCACTGTGGCCCTAGCAGGGAGAGGGTCAGGACTCTGAAATGACTTCAGGGCCATTTTCCCAGTGTCTTGGGCAGCGGGGCCAGGTTCAGTTTGGAAGGCCGAACTGCCTGCTGTCCTGATGAGTGGCACCTGGCTTCCCTTAACACCCTGGTCTGGACTGATCCCCTTGTCAAGCAGCCTGTGGGCGTGCATCTATTCTGTCTTGAACAGATTTTCTCATTTTGTTTGTTCTAATATGAATGGGCTGAGAAGTTTTCATTTTGGGTTAATGATTCTATCTTGGAATTGTTTCTGTCTTTCTTTTTTTTTTTTTTTTTGGTGCTGGGGATTGAACTCACAATCTCATGTTTGCCAAACAGGCACTTAACACCACTGAGCTAAACCCCAGCCTGTTTCTCTCTTTTCATTTCTTTTTTTTTTTTTTGTACCGGGGATTGAACTCAGGACCTTGCACTTGCCAGGCAGGTGCTTACACTACTGAGCTAAATCCCCAGCTTGCTTCCTTGCTTCCTTCCTTCCTTCTTTCTTTCTTTTCTCTCTCTCTCTCTCTCTCTCTCTCTCTCTCTTTCTGTATCTCTCTCTTTCTAGACATGGTTTCTACTGTGCAGTTCAGGCTGGTCTTGAACTCACTTTGTAGCCCAGGCCGGCCTTGAACTTGGCAGCAATCCTCCTGCCTCAGCCTCCCGAGTAATGGGATTACAGGTGTGAGCCACCACACTGGGCTCTTTCTTTTCATGTTTTATTGTAAGCTGTCAAAAGGAAACAGGCCACTCCTTCAATCTGTGCTTAGAAATGTCCTCAGTCAAATATCCTGTGTCTTTACCTCCTGAATTCATCTTTGCACAAACACTGGTATAGAAACACAGCTCAGCCCAGTTCTCTGCTACTTTACAACAAGGATGCCTTTCTTTCAGTGACCAATACCATGTTCCTCATTTCTGCCTCACCCAAATTCACATTACTGTCCATATTTCTGCCAATATTCTGCTTATACCACTGAGGTATTCTTTCAGAAGACCGAGACCCTCTGCTCCTTTGGAGCCCTCACCACAGTATGATCCACACTTGGCAATGTGCTCTTTTCCCAGCAGGCACCTCATAACTCTTCCGTCTTCCCCTCCTTATCCAGTTCTGAAGCCGTATTTGTACTTACTAGGTGTTTGTTATTGTTGCACCTTACTCTTGGCCCCAGATTCTTTCTTAGTCCATTTAGGTTCATACGTAAAATACCATAAACTTGGTGGCTTGTTGGGAACCACAAATTTACAATGGCTAATTTTGCACTTCCCAAAGGGATAATGAAATGGAGAGCTGTAGATCTTGGAAACAACCCAAGTGCCCATCAACTGAGGAATGGATAAAAAAGTTGTGGTATTTCTATACAATGGAGTATTATTCAGCTATAAAGAAGGATCACATTGAGATATTTATCAATAAATGGGCGCAGCTTGAGACCATACTCATAAGTGAAATAAATCAATCTCGCATGTGTGAATAATGAATAGTTTTCCTAATGTAAGTAATGATTCAAATATATAAAAGTATGTGGTAATCATGATTCCCCATTAGGTGGCCTTGAAGCCTTATAAAGTTTTCACTCATTAATTAGAAAGGCTTTATTCTGGGCTTCTTGATATGGAAATATTTGAAGCTAGAGTATATAAAGTTTTATCCAAATATTTCAAGGAAAAAGACAGACACTATGGTAACTACTATTAAGTCGGGTTATATGGTGGTGAAGTACTAGGTTGCTGAAACAGTCATGCTTTGACCTCTATTGTTATATTGTTATGTCCTGTTTTATCTCAATCTCTCCCTTATTCTTTTAAAAAAATTATTTAGTCATTTCTTATGTTTGTCTTAATTAAAGAAAAAATTTTAAAAATTAGGATATATAAATAGTAACTCTTTTTGATTTCCTATTAACTTGTTTTGAAGTCCTGTAATACTCCCACGATCTTGTTTTGACTGATTAGACTCTGTTCCATTCTATATGATAGTATCAAGTTTGAAGACATAGGCAACTACTTTGAAGGCAATAAGATTCACTAAGATGCCCATTCTGGTTTGACTATTGTCTCCTTTGGAAGTCCTGTAATGTTTACAATGCCTAAGTTTTATTGGTCTTGTTCTCTACTGTTTTGTCCAACTTTATAATATCTAATGAGATAGACAATTCTTTTTAAGGAAACAAGAGACAACGTTGATAACCATTGTTGATAACCTTGTACTCTGTTCTACACCATGTGCTATGTCTATCCTTGGTTTTGACTGACAGCTTTGTTTTGCCATATTTGACTGTATTCTCTCCCCCCGCCAAAAAAGTAATAAGCACTAAGGAGTAATAAAATCCAAAATGTGTAAATTTTGTTGTAAAAAAGAGAGGGGAAAAAAAAGAAAAAAAAAAAAAAAAAAAGAAAAAGAGCTCTAACCGATATAACAGCAAGTGTGTTTAGGGGTGTTAAATAGCTGACTATATCAATGTTTTTGGATCATTGAACACAGCTATTTGCAGTCTCCCTGTTTGAATGTCCACCTTGTATTCTTTGATACTGTGAATCGAGCAACTATTTTCAAGATGATAATATGTAATCTACTAACAGGTGATTTCTTACTGTTATGTTTGTTTTTTTTTTGTAGTTCTGTATTACGTGTACCCTTACACCGCTATGTTTTGTTTTGTGTTTTTGTCTTTTTCCTCTTAAAAAAAAAAAAATGAAATGGAGGGCTGGGATTTATCGATATCACCCATCTGAGATTTCACATCGACTCTTTTTTAGCATAAAATCATCTCCACTCTCCTGAGGCATCCCAGGATTATACTTGCCAATAGAGTAGTAAACCTCTGTATCTTCCACCCAATTGGAATCTTTGTGGAGCCCAATAAGTAGCAGCTGTTTAGGAGTACGAGCTGGGCCCATTGGGAGACATTGACTTTCCAGCCATTCATGTATTACTCCCCGAACCCTTAACACAATTGGGACTCTTCTCTGGGTCCCCAGTAATGACTCATAAAAAGATTTATTCCCATAATCCAAGATTGGGTGTCCGGTGAAGGCTCGCCCTCATAGACCATCTTCTCACCAGGGCCTCGAGGTGGCGGGGTGGATGAGCTCTCTCTGGGGTCTCCTGTGTATGGGTGTTAATACCATGTAAGGGCTTCCAGCCAGTCAGTTCCCAAAGGCCCTGCCTTCTAAAACCGTGACATGGGGGTCTGGGATCTCTGCCTCCTAGAAAGTTAGCAGAGGCCTCCTGGCAACACCCTGGCCTTGGAAGTAAAGTGAGTCTCAGCTCCAGGCCCAGGACTAGCCAAGGGAGATTCCTGCCTTCCTCAGAGCCTAAGGGAAGGCTTGTGACCACACCCATCGACCTGACCTTGCACTTGCCGGGCTTGACCGTTGGGCCTCCCCGCTGTGTCTTACAGGGTGTCAGGAGGAGAGCTCTTCGATTTCCTGGCCCAGAAAGAATCCCTGAGCGAAGAAGAGGCCACCAGTTTCATCAAGCAGATCCTGGATGGAGTGAACTACCTACACACAAAGAAAATCGCTCACTTTGATCTCAAGGTCAGTAATGGGAAGAAAGGAAAAGAACCAGAGCTCAGGTGCTGGGGATTGAACCCAGGGCCTTCACACTGAGCTGCCTCCCCAGCTGTTTGTTGTTGTTGTTGTTTTTGTTTTTTTAACATCCTGAGATAGTCTCATTAAATCACTAAGTTGCCCGGGCTAGGTTGAAATTTGTAATCCTCCTGCCTCGGCCTCCCGAGTATTACGATTACAGCAAGTACTACCACATCCAGGTAAGAAGCCTCTTAATCAGTTATAGGCATCTTCTTTCTTCCAGGGAGCAGATAGGTCCTAGTTTTTAAATAGACCATGACAGGAAACTTGAAATCAAACCCATATCATAAGACTGAACTTTTCAGTAAGGGTGAATGAAATCCTGGGCAGATTCACAGGTTTGCAAGGGGCTCAGAGCCAGTGTGGCCCAGCCTCCCGCCCGCCTCCATACCAGACTGCTGCTCTCAGGGCCCGGGGACCGCTGGCTGCCCTCTCTCACACTGTCCCAAGCTGTGGCCATAAAACTGTTGCCAGAGCCCACTGGTCATTTGTGGTCATTGGTACTTTGGGTCGGGGAAGTTCACTGTGACCACACAGGACGTAGTGAGGAAAGAATGTGGTCAGGGTAGAAGAACTGTCTCCTATAGCAACAGCTCAGCACCACAGCCAGCAGAACCTTTGCAGACACCTGATGCACGGAGGTCCTGGAACTCACACTCAGACCCATGGTTACAGGGCTGAGATCCTTTGTGTACCGTACTGGCTGCCTGCCACAGATACAAAATCAGCTCAGGTCTTTGTTTCCAGGGAACTTAGTGGAAGAAATGGAAAGGAAAGATCAAGGGCTCTACATGTTGCAATGGGGGAAACAGGGAGCCCAGAGGCAGGGGACTTCTCAGTCAGATTAGAGAAGCAGAGAGGGCTTCCTAGAAGAGGGAGTGTTAGAAGAGGAGCTCTATTGTAGAAGCCGTCCTTGTTATTTCCTGTCCTGGAAGACAGGAAAGAGAAAAACGACTGTGTACATGGTTCTCAAATAGCTCAATGAATTCAGTGCCTGGCAGGCCTTGGGGCTGGTGTGCTGAGTGGCTGGGAAGAGGCTGGGAGAAGGGCAGGAAGCGACAGCAGGAGTGTGAGCCGAACCAGGGAGGCTGCTGCCCTGGACCCTGAATGCTGCGGGGGCTGGGCAAGCTGTGGAGGAGGGAGAGGGTGGATAGAATAGGAGATGAGGGCACTGCAGAGGAGAGAGCAGGGAGGCATGGTTCCACCTGAGGGTGTTGGGGAGCTTGATTCAGTGTGGAGGAGAGACAAGGCAGAGACAGAGACAGAGGTGTCCACCAAGGGCCCAAGTTCTGGCCTGCCAGGGTTTGGCATGTCCGCTGACCCACAGCAGCCATGCCAGTGCAGTCCCCCTCCAGATGCTTGCTGTCATGTAGCTTGAATTCTTCCTACAGAGAACATCTTTCAGGGTTTCCCAGGATAAAATTGGGCCACGCAGCGTGATGCCTGGGCAGGCCTTTGGACCTTAGGCTGGCTGTGCACCGAGCAGGAAGCACTCTGCCCGAATTATACCTGTGTCTCCTTCCTCAGGATGCTGAGGACAGTTAGCCTGAGGTGTTCTGTGTTTGCTGTCTCCACATCATGAGCCCCTTTGTCTTTTCTCCGATGGTGCTGGCAGAGGTAGAAGGAGTCACTAGCACCTGATGGCTTATCAGCTTTACCGTGTGTGGTTTGCTTCACGGGTAGCTCCCTGCAGGAGGGGACCACCGGCTTGGAGTCAGCCAGGATGAGTTTCTCTCCTTGCTCTGCCATGAACCAGGATACCTCGATTTTGCTGTCCTGATACAAATAACACCAGCTACCTGGCTGAGTTGTTGTAAGGGGTTCAAGAGAAGCCGGAGGAAGGGCTGGGTATGGAATCGGCGCTCTGGTATAGACACTGTCCCTTGTTATTTCTCTTCCCAGAATAGAAGAACAAAATGCAACTCTCGTTGCAGTATTTTGGGTCCCAGTAGACCACAGCAGACCCTGCCTGCTAGCACGGTTCTGCATAGCCCAACAGAGAGCTGAGACTGGATGCTGTGTAGGGCTGCCTCTGGGGGTGATGTCTACTTCCTGGACTCAGTCTGCACAGTTCCCTTGCTCTGGAGACAGGCTGGGTTTCCTCTGGAGGCTGAGGATGCTGCTAACCCCCCACCCACAGCCACATAGCCTATGGTATGTGGACTGTGAGTTTTGTCACTCCCCGTACAGGGGATCCTTGGCCTAGCTGCAACTGGGCAACTTTGGGCAGTGATGGGTAGCAATTGCCTCATGGCTGGGAAGACACTTCCAGGAGCCAGAATGTGAGTGTGTGTGCTTCCTAGCTGGAGGATCATGCAGAGGAGCCAGGCAGTAGCTTAGGGAGGCTCCTTGGTTCCTTCCATTTGGATTCCTACTATCTAAAATCCACAGTTGTGTCAGACAAGGTGGCACATGCCTATAATCCAAGCACTGGGGAGGCTGAGGCAGGAGGATCCTTGCAAATTTGAGACCAGCCTAGGCCACAAAGTGAGCTCAAGGCCAGCCTGAAATGCATAGTGAGACCTTATGTCAAAAAGACCCCCCACTCCCCCAAAAACTCCAATCTGCAATTTTCTTCCAGATTTTCCTTTCCCGTGAGGAACCTTGGCTTCTCTCTCTCCTGCTGTGTTACTTTTTGCTGACTCAGCTTAGCCTGGTTGCCCTGAAAGTAGCCTCTGCATTGTCTCCATGTCCTGCTGGGAACCTGCTCTCTACTGTTCCTTGCAGGAGGGTCAGCTGTCTGACCACCTCTGCTGAATGGCCACCCTATTCCCTGATAAGTGCCTCCTGTTTTCAGCCAGGTGCTAGAGACAATCCGGCTCCTGGGTGCTTGCAAATTGTTCCTAGCCTTGGTGCTGGGAGCAGTGAATGAACAAAGCAACGTAAAATAACTTGTTAAAGACCAATCATGGAGCACTGCATGGGTCTCCAAGGGAGTTACAGGATGCTGTCACACCATAATTATTAGCACAGATTTGGTTCCCTGTCAGATTTCAGTGGGAACCAGATTGACGTTTCCCCTGCAGCCTGGCAGGTTCTGGAACGGAAGCTTACTTTCAAACTTTTCTCTGTAAGACTCTGAGACATTAAGTAGTATTTCCTAAAACCAAGAAGAAAAAATGTCTGTGGCACTGCACATAGATGTAGACAACATTAAAATAGAAGTCTTCTGTGAGGCGACTGTGAGCAGGAAAAGGAGAAGCCAAGGTCCCTCTTGGGGAAGGAAAATCAGGAAGAAATATCAAGGGCTTTGTGGTCCAGACAGGAGATCTGATGGGTGTGTGTTCCAGTAGCCAAGGCCAAGGCATTGAGTGTAACCTAGAGACAAGATAGAGAGAACCGCCAGTCTGTGGGGCCTTAGCAGGAAATGCAAAGCAGAGCCGTGACCACTGCCCATTGGATCTGAACAGGATCAGCGCTGGAAGAGGCAATGACTGTATCTCGGGTCAGAACCTCAAAAACCTTCAGCACAATGTCAGAGGTGTTGTCTCACACCAGCAGCTTGCAGGTCTTCACCACCTGTGGGCCAACGGTGCATTTTGACAGGAAGTACTCTGCATTTGGAAAGGTCATAGATGGTTTAGAGATGCTAGATGCACTGGAAAAGCTCCCAGGGAATGAGAAGATGCACCAGCCTCTTGGTGATGGGCGCATCACTATTTACGCCAACTGATGTCCCTGAGCAACCCAGGGGGCGTGAGGTCAGGACCAGGGCCTCCAGCTGTGTGCAGCCAGAAGTGTCACTGAGGAAGCCCAGGAGCCCCTACTCTCCATTCGTACAGCATGTCCTCTACTGGAATCCAGTGGCTCCTTTAACTTTTTGTAGGGTGGTGGTGGTGATTGAGACAGGATCTCATGGTAGTTCAGGCTGGCCTCAAACTCATGTCAATTTTTCCTGCCTTGGCCTCCTGAGTGCTGGATTATAGGAATATGCCACCATGTGTAGCTTTCTTTAATATTAAAGATATTTTTTTAAAATTTCTGTTAAAAAGAAAAAAACAAGGGCAGGGATTTAGCTCAGTGGCAAAGCACCTGCCTGGCAATCGTGAGGTCATGAGTTGGATCCCCAGTACCAAAAAGAAAAAGTAGATCATAGCATGTTCTTGCTCAAAAATCTGCAGTGCCTCCTTGTTACCTGTAGGATGTGTGGTTGCATGTGTGGGGTTCAGGCCTCTCCTGCGTGCCTTATCCTTATTTCTGGCCTTGTGCACACTTGCTTATCCCAAAGCCCAGCCCACCCAAAGTCCCAGCCGCAGGCAGCAAGACCACAGATGTGTGTCCAGGGCAGGATGATGTGCTGCTCTCCCCCCAGGACCCCAGGGCCTTCTCTGTTCCTGCCATCCCTACCCAGGATGCTGCTGCTCTTCTTCTTTCTCCCCCATGAACTTTCTACTCACCTGTCAAGGCCAGCAGAAATGCCATTTCCTCTGGGAAGAAATCGCCACTCCTGCCACCTCCCCAGAGTATAACCAAGGACTGACCTGCCTCTGCCCTTTGTGCACACTTCTGCTGGGAGTACTCCCTCTTGTGAGTCACTTTCTATAGCAGTGTGTGACATTTGATGAATCACACAGTGTTGGACTGATGGATGGCCAGAGGGATGTGGACAGATGGAGACCAAAAGTATGTCCAGGACCCCTGCCTGTCTCCCTGCAAAATGCAAAGCAGTTGCAGGCTGAGCTCAAGTCAGTAACGTGACCAGTACTGAAGAAGGAAAATGGTACACACTAATGTTGCATGGGCCCTGCCTTCCTGGGGCCCACCGTCCACTCCAGGAGGACACAGTGAGTCTCCAAAATGAGGCCGTCTGAAATAAAGACAGATTCTCTCCAACACATTCCTGCTTCCAGGGCCAGACTCTGCTTCAGGGAGTGTAGATGGAGCTGGGGGCAGGGGTATTGTGAGTTCCCCACAGATGTAGGTAGGTACAGATGCCGAGGGCATGT